GTTTTTTTCTTCTTTTAGACAAATATCTTGCTTTGTCATTTAGGCTGGAATGCAGTGGTGTGATGAAGGCTCACTGCAGCCTTGACCTCAGCTCAAGAAATCCTCCTACCTCAGCCTCCTGAATGTCAGCTGGGACTACAGGCACATACCACTGCACCCAGCTAATTTTTAGGTTTGTTTGGTTTTTTATTTTTAAGAGAGACGGGGTTTTTCTATGTTGCCCAGACTGGTCTCAAACTCCTGGCCTCAAGTGATCCTCTCACCTCGGCCTCAAAGCACTGGGATTACAGGTGGGAGCCACTGCACACAGCCCCATGCTACTTATCTTCTGATGAACCAGATACTTTATTTAGTGTCTCTTTCCTTCCACTAGAATCTAAGTTCCACATGGGCAGGGAGATTATGTCTGTTTTATTTACTGCTACATTCTCACCACTTTGAAAAAGAGTAAGGCCCATTGCAGGGTATTCCATCAGTATTTGTTAAATAAGTGAGTTATTCTAGGAAATACTAGAGGTTGCACAAAGTAGAATGGTACTGAGGGTAAGACACACAATCGCTTTTAAAATTTTCATGTATTTATGTTGTATTCGTGTGAGTTTAGTTGTTCTTCCTTTTTTGATTTGTTTTTATAATGAAGGGAAAAAAAGAGATTCAAGCAAGGAAGAAAAGTGACTATCCCAGCACTTTGGGAGGCCAAGACGGGCGGATCACGAGGTCAGGAGATCGAGACCATCCTGACTAACACGGTGAAACCCCGTCTCTACTAAAAAATACAAAAAAACTAGCCGGGCGAGGTGGCGGGCACCCGTAGTCCCAGCTACACAGGAGGCTGAGGCAGGAGAATGGCGTGAACCTGGGAGGCGGAGGTTGCAGTGAGTGGAGATCGCGCCACCGCACTCCAGCCTGGGCGACAGAGCGAGACTCCATCTCAAGTGACTGTGTTGACTTTGTACTTAGCGACTTCAGCATCAAATCTCCCTAAGTTTCCAATGTACACAATCTTCTCCAAAGCATCCACTGGCTCAGAGAAATGTGGGAGTCCTTGGAGTGGTAAATCTTCAGACAACCTGAGAAACTGTACGGTCTAAACGATGAGTGGTGAAAGTTGATTATTACCATAAGCATTTGTTAAGAATACCCCTAAAGCTCCCATAGCCAGATTTCTGACCACACTCAGTCTGGCCTGATTTTTTTTAGTTAAGCTAAGGTTTGGGGAGCAGGCTGACTACTCTTACCAGCATCAGAGGGCACCATGGTGTTACAATTCCTTGGTCCTACTTAGGAGCTTCATATACAACTTAATTTCCCTACTTTGGTGGCTGAAGGTTAAGTGCCACTATCAGGAGTGACACTCTGCTATGTAACAATGGCATAAGATGTCAACTGTGGTTCATGTACACTTTTGAGTATTTAAAAATTTCTGGTAATACTGCTGTTCCTGCCTTGATAGTATTGTTAAATACCATTCTGTCTACTAAAATATAAAACAGACTATAATTAAATATAATGAGGAAAATTTAAATACCAGAAATTAAATCTACTTCTGTAACAAAACAACATACTCTATACCTGTCTTAACTAGTGACTATATTTTTATAACATGGGAACTGCTGCCACCTGCTGGTGATGCTTATGGCAAAGTTAATACTAGGTGGGAGATCCAAACTCCAGTCAAAATTCTGAAATTCCCTTTCAAAGCGGACAGCCACGTGAACAACTTTATTATTATCTCCTCTAATTAACTCTCATTACTCTTGACAGGAAAAAAAAATACTAAGTATATTAAGAGATTACTAATGTAAATTAGAAGTGTCTACTACTAAAAATATGACTGGGCAAATGACTTTGGGCTGGGCACGGTGGCTCACACCTGTAATCCTAGCACTTTGGGAGGCTGAAGTGGGTGGATCACTTGAAGTCAGGAGTTCAGAACCAGCCTGGCCAACATGGTGAAACCCCATCTCTACTAAAAATAAAAATATAAAAAAATTTTTAAAAATTAGCCGGGTTGCCGGGCGCGGTGGCTCACGCCTGTAATCCCAGCACTTTGGGAGGCCGAGATGGGCGGATCACGAGGTCAGGAGATCGAGACCATCCTGGCTAACATGGTGAAACCCCATCTCTACTAAAAAATACAAAAAACTAGCCGGGCGAGGTGGCAGGCGCCTGTAGTCCCAGCTACTCGGGAGACTGAGGCAGGAGAATGGCGTAAACCCGGGAGGCGGAGCTTGCAGTGAGCTGAGATCCGGCTACTGCACTCCAGCCTGGGCCACAGAGCGAGACTCCGTCTCAAAAAAAAAAAAAAAATTAGCTGGGTTTGGTCGTGGGCACCTGTAATCCCAGCTGCTTGAGAGGCTGAGGCAGGAGAATCACTTGAACCCAGGAGGTGGAGGTTGCAGTGAGCCGAGATTGCGCCACTGCACTCCAGCCTGGTGACAGCAAGACTCCGTCTCAAAAATAAAAAATAAAAAAAAAATAGACTGCTGACACCACAAATCTGTCTGGGAATATGGCTTCTGATTCTGAGCCTTTCTTACCTTCACCAGCTCCTCCCCAAGTCAACAGGAAGGGATGCATCTACTCAACAAACTTTGGGATGTAGCCAAGATGGCAGGCTAATTCTCACACCAGTGCACAGTCTAATGGGTCCAGCTGACTTCCTGACTTGATCAACTTGCCCAGTGTTTAATGATGTTTTTCAAGAAGCTGAGCAGGAAAATTACCAGAATAGGGGAACAGCCTAAAACTGCATACACAGCACTGAAGCATCCTGAGAAGTAACTGATTTAAAGCTACAAAAGACCTCAGTCAAAAAGAAATCACTGATTTGCTGAGCCTGCTAGGATTAGGTAATGTGTCTTCAAAAAGTTTTTTGGCTCCTGCCCAGTCCAGATGTACCAAGGTATAATTAATGTTTATATAACAATAAAAACAGATGAGACAACAGTTGACAGCTGAGAGGGGTCTAAGGAGACATGACTACTAAATGTAATAACGTGGTGTCCTAGAAGGGATCCTGGAACAGAAAAAGGACCTCAGATAAAACTAAGAAAATCTGAATAAAGTATGAACTCTACTTAATAATATCAATACTTCATTATTGATATTAATATCAATATCAATTATTGCTTCATTAATACGATAAATGTGCTACACTAATATATTAATAAGGAAAACAGAGTGAGAGGTACATAGGAACACTGTACAATCTTGGCAATTTTTTCTGTCAATCTATATTCTAAAATAAAAAGTTTCTTTTTAAAAAATGGATGGTCTGTTAATAGGGTGGCTAAAAAAATAAAAATTATAATAAAAATTTAAAAGAAAAATGGATGAAACAAGATGCATCTCAATTGACAAAGGCAGGCCCTTAAGTTAGTTTGATCACAAGCTTAAAATGTCACAGAGCTTCTATTGTGATTTAAAAAAAAAAGTTATGGCCAGGCACGGTGGTTCACGCCTGTAACCCCAGCACTTTGGGAGGCCGAGGTGGGTGGATCATTAGGTCAGGAGTTGAAGACCAGCCTGGCCAACATGGTGAAACCCCGTCTGTACTAAAAATACAAAAAAAATAGCGGGGCATGGTGGCGCACGCCTGTAGTCCCAGCTACTTGGGAGGCTGAGGCAGGAGAATCACTTGAACCTGGGAGGTGGAGGTAGAGGTGAGCTGAGATCGTGACACTGCACTCCAGCCTGGGCAACAGAATGAGACTCCTCTCAAATAAATAAATAAATAAGTTATTTGATAGCTTATTTTCGTTTATCAGCTCTAGACCCAAACCTTTTATATAAAAATGAAGAGACACTGACTATTCAAACTCCCCAAAAAACACCCAGGAGGCCAGGCACTGTGGCTCATGCCTGTAATCCCAACACTTTGGAAGGCTGAGGCAGGAGGATCACTTGAGCTCAGGAGTTCACAGCCTGGGCTATATAGCAAGACCTCATTTCTACTACAAAAAAAAAAAAAAAGCTGCCTATGGTAGTATGTGCCTGTAGTCCCAGCTACTCAGGAGGCTGAGGTGGGAGGATTGCTTGAGACCAGGAGATCAAGGCTGCAGTGAGCCATGATCACACCACTGCACTCCAGCCTGGGTGACAGAGTGAGACCTTGTCTCAAAAAGAAAAAAGACCCATGAGCTTCATACTAATTTATGGCAAATCTCAACCCACTCGTAAAAAAGGCTTTCATGAAATTAACGCAGGTACAAAACTCTTTATTCTGTCATATATTTTGCTGACACTGCAACCTTCCATAAACCTATTTGTTTTACAGGGCATTTGGGGAGTTACCCAAATTCATTTTACTGAGACAAAAATACTCTACCAAAACTATACCATCTTAAAATTAGCTCATAACTCATGCTTCAAAAGTATAACTTTATAAGCCCTATTTTCTTTGTTAAAATTGAGTGATGAAGACTTTGCACGTAAGAATCACTAAGGTGACCAAACAAATTTTTAAGACTAAACACCAAATACCTGTGTTGTTTTTAATATCATAAATGGGAAAAAAAGGCTCCCATTTCTTTCATAAAACTCTATTATAAAGGCTTCTTTCCTACTTCCATGACATCATCAACAATGTACAACAGCTTAACATAAAATGATCTCTAGAAAATATTAAGTAGCTCATGAACTACAGAGCTTCTGAGTAGTTCTTAATAAATAAATCTGAATTGAACTCCTTTTGATCACAGAAATCACTCTTCTCAGGTATATATTATAGAACAAATCATTTTAATTTCCATTTCTTATCTTTAATTTATTCTTTAAATTAACCTCAATTTTTACACAAAATGTCCTGAATCGAAGACCATGAAACTATCTGGTTTAAACAAAATATGGGCCCTAAAACCTAAGCTCAGTCATAAGCCCAGGTAAAAGAGATGCTATTCTGTGACCTTTTTCTTCTTACTTTAAGAATATGTTATATGCCGAACAGTTTTAAAATGTGATTAGTTGCCTTGGTGACAGAACAAACAGCAGCAACTCTGTTCTAATTATAAGATGATTTTTAAATTTATTTTTATTTTAAGATTAAGCATCCTCTTTGACAATCCAAAAACATAGTCCTTGCTCACTCTGGACACACACACCTAAAACAGTTAAAAGTGATTCCTCAATTTTCAATGACGAAGTAGGAAAAAAAGAATATGTTCTCAAGCTGCAGTTCAATTTTTCTGTCCTCTTTTCCAAAAAAATGTTATTTTGCTACCAAGCCACCCACCAATGATAAGAAAAGACAATTTTTCAAAAAGCCAACAAAACCCGAAAAAAAGAACAGGTATCAATTCAAAATTATCACTCAGAACAATGCTGTTGCAAAAAAAAGAGTATGAAGCCAAATTCCCATAACTTGTTAGAGAAGATCTTTAAGAATAATTCAGGAAGTTAGGACTGGAACTACCGTGGTATAGACAGGTTATACTGTCACTATATGCATATACAGTGGTGAATGCAGATAATTCAAGAACATTCAGCTTGGGAATATATTAAGCTTTCTCCTATTCCAGCAGAGGAAATAAAAACATGTGTTCCTGGAATTAATACTAAAATCGTCCTTACAAACAGAAGGTAGGGCAAAGGTAAAGAGAGAGAATGTGGAACAAAAGTAGCAAAGACAAGTCATTTTGAATCTAGGTTCTAACTCCTAGGAAAGTTGAATAGAACTTAAATTCTTCTGAGCCAGTATCACTAAATTCTAGATTTGGCCTGCAACCAGTGGATCATATACACCACTAATAAATATCAAGTGCCCCACAGTGTTTGTGGTATTAAAACATATATTTAAATTATTATAAATTTCCATTCTGAAAAGCAGATCAAAATGACACTGGACCATCCAGTCAGTTACAGAGTAAAGGGCTTCCTCCAAAGAGAACTGAGTTGGCAGAAATTTAGGTTGGTAGGAATGTGATTAACATAGAGTAAATGAGATCAGGTTCTCAGTATAATTTTCAAAAGGCTTCTACCCACTCCAGTTGTAAGGAATAGTAGTACTGAGGGAGCTCCAACAGAATGTCTTAGAGGGATGCTTCTCAGAGACAAAGGGTCTCTAAGTTTAACTCTTGACCCCTCTTCTCCTTACCTAAAGCTTGGGGAAGAAAATAAATATTTAATTTTTTACTATTCAGAGCTTTGGGCACATTATCACATTATAATATTTAATATTCTGTAGTTTCATTTTCTGAACCTTTGGCTTATTTTTCTCAACTTACATTTTAAAATGTATGAATGCACCTTCTTCAGTAGTACCACATGAAAATATAAAGTTTGTTCTTCCATATCTTCTACACAGGAAGAGTGAATGAGTAGTACCCTAAATATCCCGCAAAGTTACTTTGTGTACTTGACGAAAGATTAGGGAAAAACAATCCACTTCCATATCTTCAGCAGTAGTTAATTAGTCTTCAACCTCATCTTCCCAAATATCGTCGTCAACATCCACAGCATAAAACAGCCTGGAAGCATTAAAAAAGGTACATTTCTATACACTTGAATGAAACAATGTAAATTGCCTCTCCTTCACTGAAAAATATTTTCTGTACTCTTATGATAACATTTTTGTATATCTTTTCTTCTCCTTTAATCATTCCACTGAGGAGGGCTGAAATATGGGTCCCTTTGAACAATCTACCCTAAAGTTGGTGAAGAACGGCCCGTTTGGGCTGGGCATGGTGGCTCACGCCTGTAATCCCAGCACTTTGGGAGGCCGAGACGGGCGGATCACGAGGTGAGGAGATTGAGACCATCCTGGCTAACACGGTGAAACCCCGACTCTACTAAAAATACAAAAAATTAGCTGGGTGCGGTGGCGGGTGCCTGTAGTCCCAGCTACATGGGAGGCTGAGGCAGGAGAATGGCGTGAACCCGGGAGGCGGAGCTTGCAGTGAGCCGAGATTGCGCCACTGCACTCCAGCCTGGGCAACAGAGCAAGACTCCATCTCAAAAAAATAAAAAATAAAAGAACGGCCCGTTTAAGGTGGATGAGTGCCTGTCCAGCTCCATTCCCATCTGGCCTAGAAGATTTAATTGGCTGTCTTATAGCCTTAAGTCCCTTGGCCATAGGGGTCCCACTGAGGGCCTAGATGGAGGCGAGGCAGGTTAGCCACAACACTCCAGCAATGATATGGGACAAAATAAGTTTGACCATCAATGGTGCCTCTGGCAAATCTCAGTCAAAAGGGGGAAAATGAGAAATAAAAATGATACCCTAAGCCCACAACCAACTGAACAGACCCTCTCCTGGCCAAGGGAACCCCAAAGAAACCTTGAAAACAGTTCCCGGCCATGACGGGATGGGAGGCCAGACACACCTGGTCACACCCCCCTCCCTCATTGACCACCATTAGGCTTTCTTTCCCTAAGGGTTCAAACCAACCCTCTGGGAAGACTTGCTCCACTGCTGATATCAACCAACCGCCTAACGCTGCCCCTCCCTTCTGCAGTTTTGGCACAAAAACCGACCAGCATTTCTTCCTGTCAATGGACCACTGACCATGGAGTGGTTCTAGCCAGTCTATGGAGGATGTGTACTGAGGTTTTCGTATTCTCTGCTTCACCTTTTGATATCAGAGACCTCCCCCAGAGATCGTGCCATTTTTTTAACATGGGTCCCCTGAAGGGTAATGAAGCTCAACTGCACATGCAGCATATTTCTCCTTTCATAAATATTCATGACTCCTCCTATAGCTTACTGAATATGTGTATCTGGCTATCTTGTAGAGCATAAATCCCTGTCTTCCTCTTCCCACCCTTAAAGTGTCTGTTTTCAGCTTCCGGCTGAAGGCTATGCTTCCCAACCTGTCAGAACGGCCACCTTGCCGGCTTCAACTCTTTATGAGAAATAAAGCTCTCCTTTCCAAATTAAAACAAGCAAACAAAACAGTCCTGTTAGAATCCAGACAAACTCCCCAGGACCAAGGATAAACAATAAGGGAGGATGGGTATCACAAAACTGATACTCAGCGTATATAATAGATGGAATAAGCTAAGACTGGGGAAGTCAGGCAATTTAAACTGAACTCTTTCAAGACACCAGCGTATACAATACATGGAATAAGCTAAGACTGGGGAAGTCAGGCAATTTAAACTGAACTCTTTCAAGACACTATTATTACTATTACATGCTCATCACTCCATTCTATCTTCACAGTCCTTGCACCCTCCATTTATAGAATGTTTTGTAGCTGTCAATTTGTCTTCCTTTCCTTATGTTATGTACAATTTATGCAATTTCCAACACTAGATTTCCAACAGTTCATGGCAGGGCTTGTTTCTTCAATTTCTCTTATAGTTTCACAATACCAATGTGTTTACTTAACAGACACCTCTTAACAAAGATCATCAACTGATGCTGAAAGTGGAGAGCTCTTGGAGAACAAGATATTCACACTGTGCCAAGGAATCACCCCACAGATTACTTCCTAATAACAAAATGGAAAACTTGCCTTTACAATAAAGCAAACTGTAGAACTGAGCACCACACTAATGAGGGACATCATGGACCTCTTGATGTGATCCAATACGGAATACACATCACTCCTCATGAAGTATCAGCATAAAAAATATTATTCTAAATCTAATCAAACTTCAGTCTAGACCTAACTTCCAGTTTATAGCAAATAAGATAGAGAAACTAGCTAAAGGACACCATGAACAAACAAAACTCTGGAAGGTAAGACGTTATATAAGACAACTGGCCTGGACTCTTCAAAAAGTGAATGTTCAGCAGGGCGCGGTGGCTCACGCTTATAATCCCAGCACTTTGGGAGGCCGAGACGGGCGGATCACAAGGTCAGGAGATCGAGATCATCCTAACACAGTGAAACCCCGTCTCTACTAAAAATACAAAAAACTTAGCCAGGCGTGGTAGCGGGTGCCTGTAGTCCCAGCTACTCGGGAGGCTAAGGCAGGAGAATGGCATGAACCTGGGTGGCGGAGCTTGCAGTGAGCCGAGATTGCACCACTGCACTCCAGCCTGGGCGACAGAGTGAGACTCCGTCTCAAAAAAAAAAAAAAAAAAGTGAATGTTCACAAAACACACACACAAAAAAGGTGGGCCAAAGCTTTTCTGCATTAAGAAACTAAAGAGATGGAACCAAATACAGTGACTGAACTTGTTTAGATTCTGGTTCAATCAAATAGCTTTAAAATATATTTTCAGAAATAATTAGGAAGTTTCAAATGTTTGTTTACTAGATAACAGTATGCCACTATCATTAAATTTTTTAAAAGTACTGTCATGATGTAGAAGCATTTCCTTATCTTAGGAGAAACGTGGAAATATTTAGTTGAAGCATTATCATAACTCCAACTTCATGTAGTTCAGCAAAAATATTAAGGGAACAAATATGGCAAAGTATTATCAATTGTTAATTTGGGTGGAAGGTATTCTACTATTCATAGTCCTATCCTTTCAAATTTTCTGTACGTTTGAAAACTTTCACTATAAAAACTTCCAGATAGTGTATATTCTCATTATAAAGCTCATTTTTGAGAAAATAATATAAAAATTCCTTCATGGGGGAAAACATGTAAGAGAATTCTCTAAATAAGTCCAAGTACTTAAATAAAACACTGGATGTGTGGTCTGCAAATCAAGTACCAAAAATTGCTGGAGAGCCTAAGGAATTCTGTGTATACATACCGGTTAAAGCATGGTGAAGCAGGGTCATTGAAATGTTTGTAAGGGTTTGCTCTAGAGAGAGAACCCATGCAAATCCAACAGAAATATTGCTTACAGCCAGTACATGTCATCTTATTACATCCATCTAATTTCTGGTGGGAAGGATAGAAAGAGAAAAATATCAAGGCTGTAAGAGCAGAAGAGACATGCACATGCCAAAGTGATTCAGTACAACATTGTCCTGGTCTTCTCCTTTTTCTTATGCAGGGTTGAGATATCAATGTAACACACTGATGACTATGTAATTCTATTTTGCACTCTAACTAAAATACAGAAAATAGCTAGTGTTACTACAACTAGTTACTTGGCACAATCTCTTCTGATAAGCAGTAGATAAAAATCACACACATATAACTGGAACATGTAGATTAATATTAAAATGCTTGGATGTAACGTGTGGGTTTTTAATTTTTACATAAATCCAAGTAAATATTTGGTACCAAGTCCTCCACTCTGTCATAGGGCTAAGGTATGTCAAAAGTGATTATATGGCCAGGTGTGGTGGCTCATGCCTGTAATCCCAGCACTTTGGGAGGCCAAGGTGGGTGGGTCATTTGAGGTCAGGAGTTGGAGACCAGCCTGGCCAACATGGTAAAACCCCATCTCTACTAAAAATACAAACATTAGCCAGGTGTGGTGGCTGGCACCTGTAATCCCAGCTACTCGGGAGGCTGAGGCATGAAAATTCCTTGAACCTGGGAGGCGGAGATTGTAGTTAGCCTACATTGCACTACCACACTCCAGCCTGGGCAACAGAGAGAGACTCAGTATCAAAAAAACAAAAAAGTGATTATATATAGTGCCAGTTTCCTTAACTGGAGTATCACTACTATGTTCAGTTCAGACATAATAGATTAGAACAATAGAATCAAATGCAAAGATGTATTTTGATTTTAAAACATATTAAGATTTTTGTCAAGAAGTAATAGAGTTGTGTAATTATTTTGACTCAGATTAATTCCTGAGTGTATCTTAAACAGGTGTGCAGCATTCCAGGATAAATAGTTCTGAGAGGTCAGATTTGATTTTTTTTAATCACATAGATGAGGTAAGAAGTGACCATAGCTCTAGTATGCCCTCCTTACAACCCATTCAATTTTGAGATGGATACAATGTAAGAACAATGGTCACTATAAGAAAGACACAAAGAAAAGACTTTGAAAAGGGAAGTCTACAAACATTTAATGTTGATAACAAGATTTAGTAGTGAAATTTCCACCTTCCAAGTAAGGAAGGTGTAATAATACCAGCATGTGTTTTGTAAGTCATAAAATTGACTAATAAGGCTTCTTAAGGTAATCATAGCATGCTTGCAAGTCTGATGGCCTCCAAGTCTGTCCCAAATCATTTACCTCTATGGGAGTTCCACAACATGGGCAGCTCTTTGAGTTCTTCTCTAGCCACTCCTTACTTTCCATCTCTTCCAGTGCCTTCTGAATCACTCTCTTACCATACCTTTGATCCAAAAGTCTTTTATTAGCCTCATCTGCTTGCAGGTATTCATTTCGTAAGTCCATTAATTTCTCTAGAAAGTGAAATGGAAAATTAACTTTTATATAACTTTGTAATGCTAACTAAAAATCATTAAAAATGGCTATAATCTTTGACTATTCAATAATGTTATTCCTAGAACTTTATCATAAGGAAGTAATCCAAAGTCATATGCATGGAGATGCATATAACAGTGGCAAAAAAATTAAATTTCTAAGGAAATAATTATGTTTGAAAGAGCCATTTAATGTCGCAATATTCAATTATTAAAAACATAATTACGTTCGCTACAACCCAATTAAAACACTCATCACAGAATCCAGAAAAAAAGTATATTTATGTTACAACCCAGTAAAAATTATACATGCACAAATGATAATGAATGGAAAGGAATCCCCCAACTAGAAAAGATGTATCTGCTAAAAGTGGTAGAATAAGATAGGTTATTTTTTTCCTTTGTTTTGATTTCTTAATGTTGGTATGTTTATGCAACTAGAAGTATGCAGTTAAAGACTGACTTATCTAGAAGATACAAAGGTTGAAACAGACATTGATTTTTCCACTAAGTTGGCACCATTCACTGTTTGATAATGAAGAGGCCTACCAAATACAAAGGCACCTTTGGCTTAAGAGCAAAGACTACCTCTTCAATTCTGTGTTTAAAAAAAAAAAAATCAGTGAATAAAACTTACCACTCAAGTCTCACCCTGTACTATGCTTTGCTATAGGTGCTGAAAAGTTTTCCCTTGATACTCTTCAGTCTGGCTTCTACTGCTCTATCATTTAACTGAAATGGAACAGGTAACTAATCCCAAAGGCTTTACTTGCAGACAAGAGGCTTTTGTTCACAATTCTATTACTTAATTTTTCAACACAATTAAAGAGTTTTCCCAACAATGTTCTGTTTATTTTATCAGTTTACTTTCCTCACATTATTTGGAAGTCTATCTCCCTTTTAAAGCAAAAGACATCTTCTGATACCGAATCCTATATCCCATCTCCACTCTTTGCTTTCACCTGTGAATTCTTCCTGTGTAGTGCATTCCCACGGCTCCATCACCTCTACTTCAATGTAGCAGTGAAGTAATATAAATCTCATCCCTCTAATCATTCAATGCATTTTTGTGTTCCTAGGCATCTTAAGGACAAAGGTTATATTGCTTTAGTCTTCTCAAAATAATAAAATTGTTGGTATTTCATATTTTATATAATATATACATACAAAGAGAGGGAGAGATTCCTAATTTTGCTAAATCCCTGAATGCTGTGAAACACCTGAAATGTACTGTCGACTTTTAATGAAAAGGTTACAGAAGTCTAAAGTAAAGGCTTATATTATACTTTGCTAACTTCTCCATCCCATTTGGCCTTACCTTCTACAAGATGCTGCCTGAGGCAACTGAAATTATCTACTCACTCTTTCCTCTCAGGATACTTTCTTGGAAATAATGACAGTCTGCTAACATTAGCAAGCAATAACTACAATAATAATAGCATTAATAATTACCATTTTTCTTTTTCCTTTTTTTTTTTTGAGATAAGGTCCCATTCTGTCCCCCAGGCTGGAGTGCAGTGGTGCAATCTGGCTCACTGCAGCCTCTACCTCCCGGGGTCAAGCGATCCTCCAGCCTCAGCAACCTGAGTGGCTGAGACTACAGGTGTGCACCACCACATCCCGTTAGTTTTTGTATTTTTTTGTAGACACGGGGTTTTGCCATGGTGTCAAACTCCTGGACTCAAGCAATCCACCTACCTTGGCCTCTCAAAGTGCTAAGATTACAGAGGTGAGCTACTATGCCCAACCCCATTCTGCATTTTACATGGATTAGCTCACTGTTTCTCCAACTATTTATGGTAAAGGCCTAGTTTTTTTTCTCTAATATGTCAAGGATCAACACTTTTATAAGATATAATCAGGTTTGCTTGATTTAATTTTTTTAAAGGCAGAGTCTCACTATGTTGCCCAAACTAGTCTTAACCGAGGCTCAAAAGATTCTCCTGCTGTAGCCTTCTGAATAGCTACAACTACAAGTGTGCACCACCAGTCAGCTAACAATTTATTAGAAAAATGAAAAAAAGTCTAAATTTTTATTAGGTTTGACTGACATAAAATTATGTGAAATCACTATAAAAGTTTCTAACCCTCTCAATTTCTATATCTCATTATAGACCACTGTAACAAATATAACAATTTTGAATAGCACAATATTAGTTCCCTTCATCCTTAGACTAACCCAGTGAAATTATTGTTGTCTGCTCGAGCTGCAATTTTGTGAAGTAGCTGTTATCATTATCACTGTTAGTCTGAGAAAGACTAAGCCACCAAAGTCCAGTTAAATCGACATTAAGGGCCTGATTTATGATTCCTTATCTAGACTGGAAATGGCAAACATATTTCACTCCTGTGTCTACTTTATCAGAGGGTAGTTGTCCGAAGTGCCATGTTGAGGAAGTTTCTGAGGCCTCTCTGGGCTCAAGGAGAAAGCATTTGATAAATGGTCAAACACATGTGCCATGGAGACAAGAATGGCAGCTTAGATGCCCTGCATTTGCCATCCAGGATCTACATTATTCCATGTTCGTAGATAGAATTTGCCATGCCATTTCTTCTCCTGGAATGTTCCTCCCTGGTATCTGCATGGTTTTTCCTACCTCCTTCAAGTCTTTACTTAAACCATTTTGCCAGTGAGGCCTCCCCTGGTTTCCCTAACTAAAATCCCAAGTCCCCTCCCCTTCAGAACATTTCATATCCTGTCCTTGCTTTATTTCTTCTGCCTCTTCAGCACTTACCATCACCTAATATCCTTATTTTGTTTTCCTGTCTCCCCTAGTAGAATGTAAGTTCCATGAGGGCAGAGATTTTGTCTCTTCTGGTCACTACTACAGCCCCAGGGCCTGGGATAGTCACTGATACAGAAATATCGTCTAAAGGAATACTTCTAAATTGAAGAATGAAGTCATAAGGCACTGGTAGGAAAGTGAAATGTGAGGGAGAGATTGGGGATAGAGGATTTGGGTTCACAGTTAAAACATACCTGCAGTCACCTTACATGGAGAGACCCCATGGTAGGTCAACCTGCACAAAGTACAGAAGGCAAAATTGCAGCTGGAGCAGATACCCATGGTGCAGCCAGGCTCCTGCATCACAGGCAGCTGGCAGCATGGCCGGGGGCAGTACACTACATCTGCCATCAGGTCCAAGGTGGACTGGAGGAGAAGGCGGTCATAACGGGCAAATAACTCTGCTTCCACTAGCTCTTTGACCTGGAGGGAAATACAAAACACCATAGGTTTGATGATTCCACAACCAGTTCTGAACCTGAGGAGATTCTTAGGATGCTAGTGTAAACCAGATGGGCACATAAATTAAAATCTCTCTTTCACTTTAAAATCAAACCAAGTATATTTTGACTCAGATGGCAATTATAGGGGTCTACATATTTGTTAAAACTAAGCAAAGTGTACAATTCATTTTATATTTTAGTTTTATTTCTTTAGAGATAGGGTCTTACTCTGTCGTCCAGACTGGAGTGCAGTGGTGCAATCACAGCTCACTGCAGCCTTCAACTCCTGGGCTCAAGTGATTCTCTGCCTCAGCTTCCCTAGTAGCTAGAACAACAGGCACTTGCTATCATGCCTGACTGATTTTTTTTTTTCCAGACATGGAGTCATGCTATTTTGCACAGGCTGGTTTTAAACCCCTAGCCTCAAGTGATCCTCCTATCTTGGCCTCCCAAAGTGTTGGGATTATAGGTATAAGCTACCATGCTAGCCTTGTATGCTTTAAATGTGTAGTTTATTTTTAGTAAAATTATGCTTTAATAAGAAAACAAAAAACTGGCTGGGTGCAGTGGCTCACACCTGTAATCCCAACACTTTGGGAGACCGAAGTGGGAGAATCACTTGAGGTCAGGAGTTCAAGACCAGCCTGCCCAACATGGTGAAATCCTGTCTCTACTAAAAATACCAAAAAAATTAACCATTCCAGCTACTTGGGAGGCGGAGGCAGGAAATCACTTGAACCCGGGAGGCAGAGGCTGCCGTGAGCTGAGATCGTGCCCCTGCACTCCAGCCTGGGTGACACAGCAAGACTCCGTCTCAAACAAAACAACAACAACAAAACCTAAGTAGGCTGTACTAATGCTGAAGTCTATAAAAGTTGGTTAATCATTCCAAGAGATATCCCCTTCAGATCCCAACCTCACACAAGGATAAGCTAGTGATTCCCCAAGGTTTATGGGATCCTAGCAGATATACAAAGTAAATTATCACAATTACTTAATAACTAACACTCATCCTTGACCATTGCAAGGCCAAAGGAAGCATTCCATTTGCTTAAGCAGTAGACTAAGACCATAGCATTCTTAATGGATACAGCAAAACAACTTGTGGGCTGGCTCCAAGGCCTCAGACTGCCCCATGAGCCCTATCAAGGAAGTTCTTGAGATGATATCTCCATTTATGGAAGAGAATTAGGAGGCAACCATCAGCAGGGTAAACAGTTACCTGACCAGGAGTGGCCACCGAAGGGCACTTTGGTTCTGGACAGTTGAGGCATTGAACCTGGCCATCTCTGATCTGGATTTCAAAGTAGTCCTTCAGACAGGCTTTGCAGTACACATGCCTGCACTCCAAGAAGTACATGCATTCACTACCCAGCTTCTCACAGAAACAGATATTGCACAGGAACAATTTACTATTAAAGCATTTTATCTGCTGAGCTTGATCAAAGTCCAAGATTTCCTGGATCAGATTTGACAATGATTCCACATCCTGCACAGCTCTCTCATCCACAATTTCCTCTTGGTCTACATCAGATCCAGCAGCTCCTCCAAAATCTAGCTCTGTGTTGGGAGAGGCTTGAGCTGTCCTTCTCTGCACTTTTTTCTGAGAACCAATCTTGAGCTCAAAAGGAGAGACAATATTCAAGTATGCTAGGGTCTCTTCCTTAAGAAATTGCATCCAGGCAAACAGGACCACACTGCCACGGTGTTCTTCCCATAGGTTGTCTAAGTGCTTGCATAGAGCAGATAGCTAGGAGAAAACACATGAAGATGTTGGTGAGTTCGGAAAAATGATGCTGCAGCCAACTCCTGGTTTCCCGAGAAATATTTTCCACTTGCAAGTTAGGGCCTTATTCTAACACTATTTTTTACTGCTGTGATACACTGTGCTACAAAACAGTATAAACATTCTTACTGGAGCACTTCTTAAACTATTCAGCAACATGAGCCAAAGTAGAACACAAAGTCAGAAGCAAGAAGTACCATGAGAACAAGAGAAATAGCAAGACTCCACAAGGTAGAGAAATAGCTGTACATTTTAGCCACTGAAATGGAAGACTTTTTTCTGTTCTTTAATCTTTTAGTACTGCCATATATCTCATGTAGGAGAAAGAGATCTAGTTCTAAAACTAAACTATTTTTCTTCCTTTAGGAGTCCTAGCCCTGTTGGTATCCTAGAATAATGGTTGGAAAAAGAATTGTTTAAAAATACTACTCAAGTTTTAAAATTAATTCTTTCAGTTTTATCAAAATGTCAACTCATCTGAAACAATCACTCACAGAATTCAACCTCAGAGTCCTTGTTCAGATTTACAAGCTGCTTTTAACTAAGCAATCTGGGCTTATATCAGATCCTGGTTAATGGAGGGAAGTTGACTGACATTGACCCTAGTCCTAATCACAAGCCCTCAGCAAGGTTTGGCAGCCATAGAGAAAGCTTACACTTCCTAAGCTAAGCAACCAAAGTTAAATTATTTGGAATTTTCCTCTTTAAAAATGGTCTGTTCAATTTGAAAGGCAAATATAAGAGGATTTTCCATTAGAAATATAAAATATTTGTAACTAGAGCACAGGAATTATAAGCAGCTTTTCTTTTTTAGGTAAACATCCAAAAATAGGCCTTCCAGATGGCAAACAAATTTTGTAAATTTAAATGACAAATGAAAAGGGACCAGATTTTCTGTTTCTTATGCTCTGTGTAGTGCTACTGACTAAACCCTGCACAGGTACTACCTTAAATACTTATTGATGAGTTAAGATTGAACAACTAATAATTTTTCACATTTACATAAATATCCTTATAAATCAACCATGCTTTTGAGAAATCTGCTAAAATCCGTAAAATGTGATAAATACTAAAAGGGAAGCTCTGAGTGCTGTGTGAACTACCAAGTCCTATGAAGAAGCCATTCTCCAACCTCTTTTCTTCTCCAGTCCCTTCTCAAGAGAGGCAGCTGGGGCCGGGCGTGGTGGCTCATGCCTGTAATCCCAGAACTCTGGGAGGCCGAGGCAGGTGGATCACCTGAGGTCAGGGGTTCATAACCAGCTTAGCCAACGTGGTGAAACCCTGTCTCTACTAAAAAATACAAAAAATTAGCAGGGTGTGGTGGTGGGCGCCTGTATTCCCAGCTATTTGGGAGGCTGAGGCAGGACAACCACTTGAACCCACTAGGCAGAGGTTGCAGTGAGCTGAGATTGCGCCCCTGTGTTCCAGCCTGGGCGACAGAGCAAGACTCCATCTCAGAAAAAAAAAACAAAAAAAAAAGAGAGAGAGACAGAGAGAGAGAGAAAGGCAGCTGGAATGCATGTAAATGGAAGGGGGATGGGAATTCAGGGAAAAGAGCAAGAGACTGTGTAAGTATATTTGGGGAGGAAGGGAGGAATAAGGAACGAGGTTTTAGAAAACTAAAACCACTTCTGTCTATCCACCCCAATTCAGGGAATGACAGCTCTATGTGTCAAATTCACTATTAACAGGTGAGAGTCATAATGCCAAGGAATCAGGGTACAGCAACAAACAAGAACTGAACCAAGAAGGAATATAAGAGACTAATTAAAATGTTAATTATATGCATAAACATTTATTTGATAAAGAATTCTGTAATTTTAGCTGCAACACATAGAACAACTCTCTTCCCCAGCACACACCCCCACCCCCAAATCCAGCATTAAGTAGATGCTGGTTAGCTGGAATCTGAAACTGCAACCACACATCCAGTTAATCTGTCCCTGTTTTGTGCGTGTGTGCGTGTATGTGTGTGCATGCATGCACATGCATGGATGTAAAGTATGGAAAAGCTCTCTGCTGAAATAGGACTATGAAGATCTAAATAATTCAGCCAACTATCAGTGGCCTAAATGCCAAACAGTCTTGATATTCCTGAACAAATCAACTGTCTTGCAACTGTTGCCTCTGGCACAGATATTAGAATATAAAGTAATACGCCTTTTTATTCTACCTATATTATCCTTTTTAAGGTTTAATTTTGCTTTTAAGCCATAAGCTCAAGTTTGCAAAAGTACTCTCAATTAAAAGATTAGATTGGTGGATGGGGGAATGAAAACTGTATGATCCAAAGATAAAAACTAATGAGCTATTGCTTGAGGTCAGCAATTCTGACAGCTTTTGTCTTTTTTCTTTTCTGAGACAGGGTCTCTCTCTGTCACCCAGGCTGGAGTGCAGTGGGTCAATCTCAGCTCACTGCAATCTTTGCCACCCAGGCTCAAGTGATCCTCCCACCTCAGCCTCCCAAGTAGCTGGGACTACAGGGATGCACCACCACACTTGGCTAATTTTTGTATTTTTTGTAGAAATTGGGTTTCGCCATGTTGCACAGGCTGAGCTTTTGTCTTAATACGCATCAGTCTATCAATCTTCATTATGACTTCTAGAAAAGCAGCTGCTACTGATTCATTATCTATCCTGTAATGCTTTCTATTATTTATATTTAGCTTCAAGTCATATTTATTTCTCAATCAAGAGTTGAAGTTGTTACTAGAAAAGTATATATAACCCAGAGGAAATGAGGCTCTTAACATAAGGCCTCAAGCTTTACTGAGGTATCTACAGGAACTATACACATTTCTACTTGTATGCATTTATGTCTATGTGATATCAGTTGACTGTTATTTGTTATTAATACAGATTTTACAAAGAAAATCAGTTACTGTATTTACTCAGAAAATTTGCTTATTATAACTACATTAGCTCAATTTTTAGTCCTAATTACAATGGAATCTTTCATTTAAGGAATGGATAAGAAACTGAGAAAAAAGTAGTATCAATATCTAAGGAAAATGAGGAAAACCTCATAGTCTCCATTATAATACAGATTAAACGGGGAAATAGCAAAACAAGAAAAGAAATAATATACTTGCTTAAAAATTACTCCTACTACAATTCATGATTGTTTCAATTACTGCCATTCCTTTTTAAAACACCAAACATTTTCAATTTCTTAACATCAGGATTCACCAAGGCAAGGGAAAAAAATTACAAAACCAAAGCCATTTGTTTTTCATGCACTGAATTCAAGATCATTAAGATAGTTTTCAATTAAAGATGATTTTTAAGTTTCTAAAAATGGATAGGAAAAATTAAGTTTCAAGTCTAACCTGAGTTGGTGACAGCCATTTGCCACTAAGTGTGAATGAAGGTGGGGAAGAGGATGGATAATCTGGTGGCAGTTCAAAGTTCAGCACAAGTGGAGGCAGAAAGCAAATGGTGTATTCAAAGCCACTATTCTGGAGACACTCATTTGAATTGCCTGAACCAAAAACAAAGATTAGAAAGGATCAGTTGGTCAACACTTGAGTGTCCATTACTGTTGAGCAGCGCTCAAGAAAGACTTAATGCTTTAGTTGAGGGAAAAACCCTCCCCCAAAGCACTTTCTATTTCCTAATTTTAACTTGGTAGCCACCACCTTAAAAAAAATCTTGTAAGCCCTTGAAAAATCTACTCAGCACCATGAAATGTATAATGAAAATACTACAACTTATTCTTGTATACAATTCTGGGTACAATTCCTAACACTAATGACCAAGGAACACACAATGTTTGATTTGTTGTGGTTTGGTTTATAGTAGATGATTAAAGACATGATCTAGAGAAAGGATGTTCATTTCCATTAAACAACATGACCTACTTAGACCAGCATGTCCCAACTATCCATGAATCAGTTGGGAAAATTTGTGCCAACACAATGATCTCAGGTTTGAGGATATGATATAGCATACAACACTCTCACAACCAAAGCTGCATTTAAATTACCACACTTACGTTCCTTACTCAATCCCTTTATAGTAGAAACATTTTGAGAAAGTGTGCATCAAGGTCTTCTGTAAATGTCTGTATCAAAACCAGCAGTATTGTTTTTTCTGAAGCAAAAGGTCACAGAGTAACAGCATGTGTCATATGTTTATAGCAGTTGAAATGATTCTGGAAACCAAACAGTATTAGCAACCACCACTGTACTTGAAAATTTCTAAGTGTTTTCACATACATTAATTTTCTCTTTGATTATCACTATGTAATAGCCAATGACTCATGGCTGATAAACTGCTAGTCAGCAGACTAGGATATATGAAATACGCAGGATAATATCCCTCTTCAGTGATCAAAAAGGTAGAATCAAATTGAAAACTGTTTGCCCCTCATTGCAATTTTCATTTAAAACAGAAATATGCATTAAATCTGTAATACTACCACCTATCACTAATGCCTATAAACACGAAATGACAAATAGTTTAAGGTACACTAAGAAATAAAGAATAATATTTAGAAAAATCTGTTTAAGAAAATATTATTAACTAACCGCTCACAAATATCTTGAAATTCTGTGGCAAATCCAAATAGATCCTGGTTTCTCCACCTTGGACAGACTCTGCTTTTCTAAATTCATCTCCATCATAAATACTAGCCAGGGCCAGCAATTCATCCTCCTGAGCTTCTCGGTCTTCTGACGACATTTAATTTTCTGAGGACCTGAAAACATTAAAATCAGTTAAGAACAGAAAATGCACAGAGGGTGGCCAGGTACAGTGGCTCACGCCTGTAATCCCAACACTTTGGGAGGCCAGGGGGGCAGATCACCTGAGCTCAGGAGTTCGAGACTAGCCTGGCCAACGTGGCGACCCCCCATCTCTACTAAAAATACAAAACTTAGCCGGGCATGGTGGCAGGTGCCTGTAATCCCAGCTGCTTGGGAGGCTGAGGCAGGAGAATGGCTTGAACCGGGAGGCGGAGACTGCAGTGAGCCACTGTACCTGGCCACCCTCTGTACCCAGCCACTGTACTCCAGCAGCCTGGGTGACAAAAAAAAAGGCCGGGCGCGGTGGCTCAAGCCTGTAATCCCAGCACTTTGGGAGGCCGAGACGGGTGGATCACGAGGTCAGGAGATCGAGACCATCCTGGCTAACATACTGAAACCCCGTCTCTACTAAAAAAATACAAAAAACTAGCCGGGCGAGGTGGCGGGCACCTGTAGTCCCAGCTACTCGGGAGGCTGAGCCAGGAGAATGGCGTAAACCCGGGAGGCGGAGTTTGCAGTGAGCCGAGATCGCGCCACTGCACTCCAGCCTGGGCGACAGAGCAAGACTCCGTCTCAAAAAAAAAAAAAAAAAAAAAGCACAGAGGGGGGAAAAGTTTAATGGCACTTTAAAAAAAGTTCCTCACCAATAACTGCAAAGAATTACTCGATATTCTCACTTTCCTCCCAAACCAAAAATGACAGCCATATCTGGCATTCCATTCGTTTTGTAATATTAACAGTCTTTTTCAAAAAGGATGGTTGTGGTACTTCTAATTTCTGACCTTATCAGTTAGATATTTTATGATTGAATTAGAGGGAAGAAAGCACAATTTGAAAATTTTCTTTGAAAAGGACAAATCACAAGTTTACTTTGACTTGTCCACTGAACCTAGCAAAGTGCCTGGCTTGCAAAAGTAGTCAAAGTGTATTACACTGCTTTCTTAAAATAAGTTAATTTGCCAGGTGCAGTGGCTCACGCCTGTAATCCCAACACTTTGGTAGGCCGAGGCAGGCAAATCACCCCTGGGAGGTCAAGGCTGCAGTGAGCCATGATAGCACCACCGTACTCCAGCCTGGGTGACAAAGTGAGACCCTGTCTCAAAAAAAAAAAAAAAAAAAAAATCTCCAAGTAGCACCGAAAGTCCTGGGACAGGATGGGGGTTGGAGGCAAAATTGCTTCCAGTTGAGAAAACTGTGCTTGAGGATGTTACAGGCATAGATACTATACAAGAAAATTAGATAACTGAGCAAGCAGCAAAACAATATTAAATTTTTGAAATAACAGATTTTGTCAAATCCAAGCAGTCATCAATTTTAAGATTTACCATTATGACTTAAGAATATTTAAAAGATAATAATTTTAAGAAAGATTTACCATTATTTTAGGTAATACTAAGAATTTAGCTGCAAGGCCCAGGCACAGTGGCTCAAGCGTTTAATCCCAGCACTTTGGGAGAGCAAGGCAGGCAGATCACTTGAGGCCAGGAGTTCAAGACTAGCCTGGCCAACACAGCAAAACTCCATCTCTACTAAAAATACAAAAATTAGCTGGGCGTGGTGGTGCACACATTCCCAACCACTTGGTAGCTGAGGCACGAGAACTGAGAATCACTAGAACTCAGCAGGCGGAGGCTGCAGTGAGCTGAGACTGCGCCACTGCATTCCAGCCTGGGTGACAGAGACAGGAAGGAAGGAAGGAAGGAAGGGAGGGAGGGAGGGAGGGAGGGAGGGAGGAAAGAAAGAAAAAGAAAGAGAAAGAAAGAAAGAAATTAGCTACTATTAAAGTATGAACTGGCTGGGTGTGGAGGTTCATGCCTGTAATCCCAGCACTTTGAGAGGCCAAGGCAGGAGGATCGCTTGAGCCCAGCAGTTTGAGATCAGCCATGGCAACATACAAGATCCTGTCTCTATAAAAAATTAGCCACGTATGGTAGTGTGTGCTTGTAGTCCCAGCTACTTAGGAGACTGTGGTAGGAGGATCGCTTGAGCCTTGGATGCTGAGGCTGCAGTGAGCCATGTCTGCATCACTGCACTCCAGCCTGGGTGACAGAGCAAGACCTTGTCTCAAAAAATAAAGTATGGGGGCCGGCCGCGGTGGCTCAAGCCTGTAATCCCAGCACTTTGGGAGGCCAAGACGGGTGGATCACGAGGTCAGGAGATCGAGACCATCCTGGCTAACACGGTGAAACCCCGTTTCTACTAAAAAATACAAAAAAAACTAGCCAGGCGAGGTGGCAGGCGCCTGTAGTCCCAGCTACTCGGGAGGCTGAGGCAGGAGAATGGCGTGAACCTGGGAGGCGGAGCTTGTAGTGAGCTGAGATCCGGCCACTGCACTCCAGCCTGGGCTACAGAGTGAGACTCCATCTCAAAAAAATAAATAAATAAATAAAAATAAATAAAGTATGAATCAATGTTTTTTAAAATAGTGTCAACTGAAAGATACAGCAATTTCAGATAATTTAAATGTGGAAAAAATAAGCAATGAGAATTTACAAAAATCATTTTAATAAAACAAAACTACCATTCTGTCAATTAAAATACTGAACAACAATTGCATTTGCAAATATCCTCCCTCACAACTAAACTATTTTTAATTAAAATGTACCTAATTAAAAAGTTAGGATTTTTTTACATTCTAAAAGGTCATACTGTGAAATTTAAAATGATTTCATTTCAAAAAACACTTTTTCTAGGAGACGTTAGTTCATGGCTCTGCTTAAGTTGCCTCCCTAAAAGACACAATTACATGTTCTACTTGAGGTCAGTTAGTACCTGTTAATAACAACCAGAAGAAAAGGATATTAACACCACAGTCTGTATTTCAGCTTAGAGTGGAGTTCGTGCAAATCCCATTTATTCTCTAACTGGTGGAGCTGAGACTGCTGAAGCTGGATAAGAGGCCAAGATGTGGAACTCATACTACATATACTATGAAAATCCTGCCATCTGCAGAAAAGAAATACAAAAGATGGTGTTAGGACCCTCTCCAAATTAAAATTCTGAATTTCCATGATCACCACTTAAGTCAAACATATCCTAACATACAGCCAATCCTAATCTACAGGTGCATGTTACTCTCCTAGGGCAGACTGACTGAGCCATGTGGTTAAAGGAGTATTTGCATGTGCCCAGCAATGACTGAGGACTTTTTATCTGTCTGCCCTCAGCCATGGGAGGAGGTAAGGAGGAACACCAAGGTCATATGAGAGGACAGGACACCATGCCCCATAACAAACAGCCTCTTCAGTTTCTTGTTTTGTTTCTTCTCCTTTCCTCTTCTGCTTTTTGTATTCCTTCATTTGCCATCCCCCTCCAGTTTTTCCTCTCTTGTTCATGAATTAATACCACCAGTGGCACTCATGGTTAATTTTGATAACAGAAAAATACTTAAACAAAACAAGAATACACAAACAGAAACTTTTAAGTTTTATTCTAAACGCTTTAGAGCTAGGCTTCTTCACTGGGGTGAGGGGAAAAGGGAGTATGGTCTCAGATGGGTTATGGAGAATCCTATCAACACCCTAAAATTATATGCAAAAATACCATATACAAAACCATAATTAAAAAGTTACAGATTCTCGGATGTGTAACTCCCCAATAAGAATGAGATTCAGAATCAATTTACATTTATTGAGCACCTACTACGTACAGTATTAGGTCCTTTCACATTGTCTTATTTAATCTTAAACAATTTTACTAGGTGGGAATATATGGTGCTAATTAAGCTTTTTGTTTCTTCCTGTTAAAACATTTGCAAATGGGATGAGAGATTCATTTATGCAGTTTATGGTTTTAGGTTAGTGTTCTCCATCTGACTGCACATTAGAATCTTCTAAGGAGCTGTTTTTTAAAATCTCAATACCCAGGCCACACCCAGAACAATTAATTCAGGCCTCAGTAGTTGTCCAAGTTCTCCAGGTGATTCCAATATGCAGTCAGGGCTAGCAACTTTTACTCCAAGCAGTGTTTCAACAGTTCCTCATGACCTACCCTACTAGATTTCAGCTTGTGAAGCTGTCACTTGGAATCCAGTACCTCAATTCTGGTTGCTACCCCCATTTCCTTCTCATTCTATCCATTTGGTCTTCGGGTCTCCTGGTCTGGGTTCAGCTCGCCACCCGGCGTGCGGAGTCGTTTGGGCGACTACCCCAAAACAGGGGCAAGTCCAAGGCTAGCTATCCGCCCCAGCGCCGGGATCAGAGGGCGCTATCCGGGCGTGTGAGCTGCTGGCCAGCCTGGGGCCTCCCAAAGAAGCAGGGCCCACACCTTTCTCTTCCTCCTCAGGAGCGTCCGGAAGGGAGTCCCGGCCAGCTGGGCTGCGGACGCCCGGTCCCGGGTTTGAGCGACTGAGGCCCACTGTACAGTCCTGGCCCGGTCCCCTTTTCTGCCTCGCGCGCCCAGAGAGCTGTCCCCACCGTACCTTCCGGCCACCCGGCAGTGCCAAGCTCCAAAGTTCCGCCCTCCGCCCTTGCCCGGGGCCCACTCACCGCCGCCAGCCGACCAGGCCTAGCAATTCCCTGCTCAACCGGCGCACCGCCTCTTCCGTTCTCGGGAGCTGTCAGCTGAGCCAAGCGGATCCCGCTGGTGGGGCAGCCGGCCTAGAGAGGACTCTGCGCAGCCGCCGTGGTCGCCCCTGTCTCTCGGGCGCCTCCCGCAGGCCCAAGGCGGCGCTGCCGGCGCGACCACCGTCACTCCAACCACTGCGAGCCCAGTGCTCACAGGAGGCTGTTTTCAGTAGTTCTGATGGGGCCCGAGAATTCCAATTTTTACCAATCCCTAGAGGTGATCACGAGGCAGTGGTCTACCTAGGGCAGAGACTCTCACAACAATCCCAGACCTGCTTCTCTAAGTGGACTAAGCTAGCCTGCTTCCTCCCGTTTACCTTCTCAGAAATGCTGCCCGTCTCTCTGGAGCTCCACTGCAGAAGCACGCATTCATCGCTCATGTTATAACTGCAACACCGACCGCATTTATTGAGCAGTTAGGATGCTTCAAGCACTGTGATAAATGCTCTACGTAAATTTTCTATCTTCACTGTAACCTTATGATTTAGCTACCATTTGTTATTCTCACTTTACAAATAAGGAAATTGAGACTTAGGTGCAAAAACTTACAAAGGGTCACATGATTATCGTCAGGCTAAGCAGAAATTAAAATTATATGCTTCCTACCTCACACCATATGCAAAAATTAACTAAATATGGATCAACGACCTAAATGTAAGAACTAAAACTATAAAATCTTTAGAAGGCCAGGCACAGTGGCTCACGCCTGTAATCTCAGCACTTTGGGAGGCGGAGGAGGGCGGATCACGAGGTCAGGTGATAGAGACCAGCCTGACCAACATGGTGAAGCCCCGTCTCTACCAAAAATACAAAAGATTAGCAGGGCGTGGTGGTGGGTGCCTGTAGTCCCAGCTACTCGGGAGGCTGAGGCAGGAGAACGGCATGAACCCGGGAGGCGGAGCTTGCAGTGAACCGAGATTGCGCCACTGCACTCCAGCCTGGGGGACAGAGCGAGACTCCCTCTCAAAAAAAAAAAAAAACCAAAAAACCCTTAGAAGAAAATGTAGGAGTAAATCTTTGTGAACTTGAATTAGGTAATAGTTTCTTAGACATGAAACTAAAGGCACAAGCAACAAAGGAAAAAAACACATAAATTGCATTCACCAAAGCTAAAAACTTTTGTACTTCAAAATGTCAGAGGCATTCGAACCAGAGCAACTTCATCTGGAGTAGGGGCTGGGTAAAATAAGGCTGAGCAACCAACTGGGCTACATTCTTAGACAGTTAGGCATTCCAAGTCACAGGATGAGATAGGAGATTAGCACAAGATACAGGTTATAAAGATCTTACTGATAAACCAGCTTGCCGTAAAGAAGTGGGCTAAAACCCACCAAAACCAAGATGGCCACGGGAGTGAACTCTGGTTGTCCTCACTGCTACACTCCCACCAGTGCCATGACAGTTTACGAATGCCATGGCAACGTCAGTAAGTTACCCTATATCGTCTAAAATGGGGAGGCATGAATAATCCACCACTTGTTTAGCATATCATGAAGAAATAACCATAAAAATGGGCAACCAGCAGCCCTTGGCACTGCTCTGTCTATGGGGTAGCCATTCTTTCATTCCTTTACTTTCTTCATAAACTTGCTTTCACTTTACGGACTCGCCCTGAATTCTTTCTTGTGTGAGATCCAAGAACCCTCTCTTGGGGTCTGGATTGGGACCTCTTTCCTGTAACAAAAGGACACTATCAAGAAAATGAAAAGACAACCCACATAATAGAACAAAATATTTGCAAGTCGTATATATCTGACAAAGGTCTACTTATCCAAAATATATAAATAACTCCTGCAACTCAATAACAAAAAGACAATTTTTCAAATAGAGCAAGACTTCGTCTCAAAAAAAAAAATGTATCACAAAATACATATAACATAAAATTCACCATCTTAATTTTTAAGTGCGCAGTTCAGTGGCACTCAGTGCACTCACGCTGTTGTGCAAACATCACCACCGTTTAGCTCCATAACTCTTTTCATCTTGCAGACCTGAAATTCTGTCCCCATTAAACTCCCCATGCCCTCTTCCCAGCCCCTGGCACCCACTCTTCCACTGTGTGTCCCTGTGAGTTTGGCTACGCTAGTGCTTCATACGGTGGAGCTGGGCATTGTTTGTCCTTTGGAGGCTGCCTCATTGCACTCAGCATAATGTCCTCAGTCTAACAGCCATCCTCTTTCCTGAGCAAGTTCAAGTGGGGATTCTGTCACATGCAAACAAAATGACACTGACTAATTCAATCATTACAGCTTTTGAAAAAGCAATGTAATTTAAACCACAATATAGGAGAGTGTTGAAAGAAACACAAACATTGATGCTTAAGGTAAAAATCTTCTTTTATTCACCAAACTCAACTGGCCTGACCACTGCCTGATGGAAATGATGAATTTTCTTTCGCTTTTTTTCTTATGTAGGTGGCTGCTGCCCAGCCATCCCACCCACAGTCCTGTGCCCGCTTTGCCCTGAACCCTCAGACACTGGCCACACGTGAGGGTACTGTGCCAGGTGGCCTCTCACCCATGCTGGGTGGTCATTTGTGGGTTCAGGTGCAGGCCAGAAAATGCTAGGGCCCTCCTCAGGCAGGTCAGGCTTTTCCGCTCCCCAGTTAGCAGCCCTCAGCGGCAAAGCATTCTCTGCGTGGTCCCCACAGCCTTTGTGGGTTTACCATAGAGTTTTCCATGGACACACACACTTCCCAGTGCCAGCAGGGCCAAATATTTAAACCACTGATTTGCTCTAACCCAATGACTGGTTATGAAATCCGTGCACAGGGAGGCTCTCCCCATTGCTCTGTAATGGTGGCTATGAAGCTGAAGTGCTGTCAGGGGATAATTCTCAAACCTTCTGTTGACCCACAGGCTGTCAGCTGGTGGGTGAGGGGACTTCATTTGGGAGGGGTCTGGGGTCAGGAGGCTTGGGCTCGAGCCAACAGGACCTGGCACCCTTTCCAGCAGAAGAGTCCCTGGCACACTAATAACAGCAGCCTCCACCTTCCAGGAGGGGAGGGTCCTGTGCCACTGCCTGCCTAGGGTCTCAGGTTAGCAAAGGCTGTTTGTGGGAGAAAATGGGGCTGGGTCCATGGAAGGAGAGGTGTGAGGCTTTTGATGAAGTGACAGTTGTCTGTGGGCCTTCTGCACAGAGTGCACTGGGTGGAGAAAGCCCCATGTCAGTGGAGAAAGCCCTCCCAGGCCTGCTCAGCCAGAGGTGGAGAAAGGATGACTCTGGACAGTGACAGGAGAGGAAGGGGTTCCCTGCAGGGAGATGACCTGGCTTTGTGCCTTTGAGGCAGGTGAATGTGTCCACAAGAGGTGCGCCCAAGCAGAGGCAAGTGGAGTGGAGACCCTGGGCCATCCCTGGCTCCTGAGCTTTTTCCCGATGCCTTTGAGGCTGGATTCTAGGTTCACACCTTCTCCTGCAACTCGCATTTTCACAGGTGCCTCATGTTCCACCTGGATTGGTCCACATGTGAGTGTTTCCAGAGGCAGTTGAAATGATAAGTGGGAAGTAGCAGAACTACTGGGTCTCTCATCCATCTTTTGACTTCAGCAGGAAGCCCCACGTCACATGCCCACAGGGGCTGGTGGGGACCAGTGAAGCAAGCTGGTTCCAGACAGCAGGGAACAGCAGGGGCTAGGCTGAAATGGAGAGTGTGGCCTGCCGAGGGGCAGCAGCTGCCCAGCTGAGGCCGATGCCTGTCATGGGGAAATGTGGGCTCAGTTTTTCCAGGGCTTCCTGTTTCTAGAGAAGTTAGAAAATTAGATTTGGGGGTAAAATCTAATTTGTAAATATTAGCAATAGTTCAATAATGATGATGATGATGATGACAACATTATGTGGGCCAAATGAAACACATTATGGGAGGAATCCATCTGTGGCTTTGGACTAGGGGTTCTGACCTCTTATTTGTTGGTGTTCTACCAATCTCTTGTTTTATTTAATTTATTTTAATTTTTAAAAGAATTTTTTAGTTTTCATGTTTGTGGGTACAATGTAGGTGTACGTATTTATGGAGTACATGAGATGTTTTGATACAGGCATGCAATGTGTAACAATCATGTTATGGAGAACTGACCTCTTGAGTAGGCTGTTTTTAGGGTCTGATTTTGCCCTGGGTCCTGCACCTTATCACAGGCCCTAAGAGCTAAGTAGAAGGGACTCTAGTCTGGTCTAATATGATTTAGTATGGTCTGGTCTGATCTAGCCTGGTCTGGTCTGGTCTAGTCTAGTCTGGCATGATCTGGTCTGGTCTAGTCTGCTCTGGTCTGATCTGGTTTAGTCCAGTCTGTTCTGATCTAATCTGGTATGTTTTGCTCTGGTCTGGTCTGGTCTAGTCTGGTCTGGTCTGGTCCGGTTTGGTCTGGTCCGGTTTTGGTCTGGTCCGGTCTGGTCCGGTCTGGTCCGGTTTGGTCTGGTCTGATCTGGTTTGATCCGGTCTGATCCGGTCTGGTCTGGTTTGACCCGGTCTAATGCGGTTTCATCCGGTCTGATCCGGTTTCATCCGGTCTGATCCGGTTCCATCTGGTTTCATCCGGTTCCATCCGATTTGATCCGGTTCCATCCGGTTTCATCCGGTTCCATCCAGTTTGATCCGGTTTCATCTGGTCTGATCCGGTTTGATCCAGTTTCATCCGGTCTGATCCGGCTTGATCCGGTCTGATCAGCTTCCATCCGGTTTCATCCAGTCTTATCCGGTTCCATCTGGTTTCATCCGGTCTTATCCGGTCTGATCCGGTTTCATCCAGTTTGATCCAGTTTCATCCGGTTCCATCCGGTTTGATCCGGTTTCATCCGGTCTGATCCGGTTTCAACCGGTCTGATCCGGTTTCATCCGGTCTGATCCGGTTCGATCCGGTTTCATCCAATCTGATCTGGTTTGATCTGGTG